AGATGATCTCTGGGGGTCCCTTTTCTATATAGGCTGGATGGCCATCTGTTGGGAAGGAATGGATGGTGCTTTTTTTCATAGCAGAAAGGAGGTTGGATTAGATGACCTCTGGGGGTCCCTCTTCTACATAGGCTGGATGGCCATCTGTCAGGAGGGATTGGATGGTGCCTTCCTTCATGGCAGAAAGGAAGTTGGACTAGATGACCTCCAGTAGTCCCCCTTCTACATAGGCTGGATGGCCATCTGTAGGGAGGGATTGGATGGTGACTTCCTTCATGGCGGAAAGGAGATTGGACTAGATGACCTCCTGGGTTTCCCTGTTCTACATAGGCTGGATGGCCATCTGTTGGGAGGGATTGGATGGTGACTTCCTTCATGGCGGAAAGGAGGTTGGACTAGATGACTTCCGGGGGTCCTTTTTCTACATAGGCTGGATGGCCATCTGTCGGGAGGGATTGGATGGTTCCTTCATGATGGAAAGGAGGTTGGACTAGATGACCTCTGGGTGTCCCTCTTCTACATAGGCTGGATGGCTATCTGTCTGGAGGGATTGGACGGTGCCTTCCTTCATGATGGAAAGGAGGTTGGACTAGATGACCTCCAGGGTGTCCCTTTTCTACATAGGCTGGATGGCCATCTGTCAGGAGGGATTGGATGGTGCCTTCTTTCATGTTGGAAAGGAGGTTGGATTACCTCTGTGGGGTCTCTCTTCTGCATAGGCTGAATGGCCATCTGTCGGGAGGGATTGGATGGTGCCTTGGACTGCATGACCTCTGAGGTTCTCTTCCAACACCAGGATTCTATGATTTCAGCCCTAATGGTGACTTGAACCAAAACAAGATCCCTTCCGGTGCACTCAGTGGATGTGGTCAGCTCAATACGTCAACATTCTCATCATTTTAATGGTCACTTTTGCAGAAAAACAGAAGCTTGTTCCCCTTGCAAAGCAAGGCGGCTTCTGGCCCTGAGCATTTGGTTGTTGGGAATCAGCCTGTGTTTGTGTTCCAGGATGATCATGATGCTTCTGATGTGGGCAATGCTGTGAGAAAGGATGAGGGAAACGATGGTGCCGAGGCTGAGGGGCAAATTGGAGATGCTTTGGTCAATGATTTTCTTGCAGACAATGACAGAGAGGCCTCAGTGCAAAGGGCAGTTTCTCATGAGAATATCCCCGCTGGGCCTAGCAATGATGGTCCTATTCCTCTAACACTCTCTGCTTCATTTGGGAAAATGCTGCACTCGCAGAGCTCAGGCGGTGTTGTATTCCAGTGTCAATGTTGACATTCTGCAGGTGTATAGCAGGGTTGGGAGGACAATGGCTTTATAAACAAGCCCCTTGGTCTCCCTACGGATGTTCCATTCCTCAAACACTCTCTGCTTCATTTGGAAAAATGCTGCACTTGCAGAGCTCAGGCGGTGTTGTATTTCAGTGTCAATGTTGTATTTCAGTGTCAATGTTGTAGGCTTATAATGTTGTATTTCAGTGTCAATGTTGACATTCTGCGGGTGTATAGCAGGGTTGGGAGGACAATGGCTTTATAAACAAGCACCTTGGTCACCCTACGGATGTCCTGTTCCCTAAACGCTCTCTGCTTCATTTGGAAAAATGCTGCACTCGCAGAGCTCAGGTGGTGTTGTATTTCAGTGTCAATGTTGACGTTCTGCAGACATATAACAGGGTTGGGAGGACAATGGCTTTATAAACAAGCCCCTTGGTCTCCCTACGGATGTCCTGTTCCCCAAACGCTCTCTGCTTCATTCGGAAAAAAGCTGCACTTGCAGAGCTCAGGCAGTGTCGTATTTCAGTGTCAATGTTGACATTCTGTGGGTGTATAACAGGGTTGGGAGGACAACAGCTTTATAAACAAGCACCTTGGTATCCCTATGGATGTCCCATTCCTCAAACACTCTCTGCTTCATATGGAAAAATGCTGCACTCGCAGAGCTCAGGCGGTGTTGTATTTCAGTGTCAATGATGACGTTCTGTAGGCGTATAGCAGGGTTGGGAGGACAATAGTTTATAAACAAGCACTTTGATATCCCTATGGATGTCCTGCTCCTCAAATACTCTCTGCTTCATTAAAAAAAAATGCTGCACTTGCAGAGCTCAGGCGGTGTCGTATTTCAGTGTCAATGTTGACATTCTGCAGACATATAACAGGGTTGGGAGGACAATGGCTTTATAAACAAGCACCTTAGTATCCATATGGATGTCCCGTTCCTCAAACTCTCTCTGCTTCATTCAGAAAAATGCTGCACTTGCAGAGCTCAGGCGGTGTTGTATTTCAGTGTCAATGTTGACATTCTGCAGACACATAACAGGGTTGGGAGGACAATGGCTTTATAAACAAGCACCTTGGTATCCCTACGGATGTCCTGTTCCTCAAATACTCTCTGCTTCATTTGGAAAAATGCTGCACTCGCAGAGCTCAAGCAGTGTTGTATTTCAGTGTCAGTGTTGTATTTCAGTGTCAGTGTTGTATTTCAGTGTCAATGTTGTAGGCTTATAGCAGGGTTGGGAGGAGAATAGCTTTATAAACAAGCCCCTTGGTCTCCCTACGCATGTCCCATTCCTCAAACACTCTCTGCTTCATTCAGAAAAATGCTGCACTTGCAGAGCTCAGGTGGTGTTGTATTCCAGTGTCAATGTTGACATTCTGCAGGTGTATAGCAGGGTTGGGAGAACAATGGCTTTATAAACAAACCCCTTGGTCTCCCTACGGATGTCATGCTTCTCAAACACTCTCTGCTTCATTTGGAAATATGCTGCACTTGCAGAGCTCAGGGGGTGTTGTATTTCAGTGACAATGTTGTATTTCAGTGTCAATGTTGTAGGCTTATAATGTTGTATTTCAGTGTCAATGTTGATGTACCGTAGGCTTATAGCAGGGTTGGGAGGACGATGGTGTTATAAACAAGCACCTTGGTATCCCTACGGATGTCCTGTTCCCCAAACGCTCTCTGCTTCATTTGGAAAAATGCTGCACTTGCAGAGCTCAGGTGGTGTTGTATTTCAGTGTCAATGATGACATTCTGTAGGCTTATAGCAGGGTTTGGAGGACAATGGCTTTATAAACAAGCACTTTGGTATCCCTCTGGATGTCCTGTTCCTCAAACACTCTCTGCTTCATTCAGAAAAATGCTGCACTTGCAAAGCTCAGGCGGTATTGTATTTCAGTGTTAATGTTGGGATAACCTACAAAGCCCTAAACGACTCTGGCCCAGTTTACCTGTCCAAACGGATTCTCCCCTATGAGCCATCAAGGCTATTAAGATCTTCCGGGGGGGTAGGGGGGGGTCTTCTCTCGGTCCCACCACCCTCGCAGTCACGCTTGGTGGGGATGAGAGACAGGGCCTTCTTGGTGGTGGCTCCCCGGCTCTGGAACTCCCTTCCACTGGAGATTCGATCTGCCCCCTCCTTCCTGACTTTCAGGAAATTACTAAAGACCTGGCTCTGGAAGGTGGCTTTTGAGGACTGAATCTTTAATGAACTGTGACTACGACTACGACTGCGATTGTATTGACGTTTTGGCCTGGGTAATTGTAATGGTGATGTTTTATTGTATTTTACTGTGTTGTTTTAATCCTTAATGATGTTGTACTCGGTTGTATTTGTATACTTTGTAATTGCATATATGCTGTAAACCGACCTGATTCATAGAATCATAGAATCAAAGAGTTGGAAGAGACCTCGTGGGCCATCCAGTCCAACCCCATTCTGCCAAGAAGCAGGAATATTGCATTCAAATCACCCCTGACAGATGGCCATCCAGCCTCTGTTTAAAAGCTTCCAAAGAAGGAGCCTCCACCACACTCCGGGGCAGAGAGTTCCACTGCTGAATGGCTCTCACAGTCAGGAAGTTCTTCCTTATGTTCAGATGGAATCTCCTCTCTTGTAGTTTGAAGCCATTGTTCCATTGCGTCCTAGTCTCCATGGAGGCAGTAAACAAGCTTGCTCCCTCCTCCCTCTGGCTTCCTCTCACATATTTATACATGGCCCTCATCATATCTCCTCTCAGCCTTCTCTTCTTCAGGCTAAACATGCCCAGCTCCTTAAGCCGCTCCTCATAGGGCTTGTTCTCCAGACCCTTGATCATTTTAGTTGCCCTCCTCTGGACACATTCCAGCTTGTCAATATCTCTCTTGAATTGTGGTGCCCAGAATTGGACACAATATTCCAGGTGTGGTCTAACCAAAGCAGAATAGAGCATGGGGAGCATGACTTCCCTAGATCTAGACACTAGGCTCCTATTGATGCAGGCCCAAATCCCATTGGCTTTCTTTGCCGCCACATCACATTCCTGGCTCATGTTTACCTTCCTCTCCACGAGGACTCCAAGATCTTTTTCACACGTACTGCTCTCGAGCCAGGCATTGTCCCCCATTCTGTATCTTTGCATTTCATTTTTCCTGCCAAAGTGGAGTATCTTGCATTTGTCCCTGTTGAACTTCATTTTGTGAGTTTTGGCCAATCATCTCTCTAATCTGTCAAGATCGTTTTGAATTCTGCTCCTGTCCTCTGGAGTCTTGGCTCTCCCTCCCAATTTGGTGTCGTCTGCAAACTTCGGTTGAGGCGAGAAGGCCGGTCTAGAAATCTTCCAAATAAATAAATAAAATAAATAACCAGATCACACTATGTCACAAAACCTGTCCCTGGTTTGAAAGTATTATTTCCTGTGTAATTGTGTTCTCCTCCAGAAACGTTGTTTTTGTGGCTGCCACAAACTGGGTTGAATTGGCCAAGACTCGATGACGAGATCTTCGTTGGAAAAGGAGGGCCAAAGGTGTCTCTAGCGGGATGCCTTGCAAATACTAAGTGTTTGCAGTGGAATCAACTTTCCCCATGTTTTCGGTGATGGAACGCATTAGGAAAGGACATTTATCACCCAGGAACCAGGATCGTGTTACAGACGCAGTAGAGATGCAACCTCAGATACATCCCCCACTCCCCCTATTTTGGCCCAATGGGGACGGGCAGCCGGTTTGACCGGTCCTCTGTCCAGATCCATTCCCGGCTGTCCTCCTGTCAACCTTCTCCTGCCTGAGAAGCTCCCAGCCAGGGCTCTTGTTTTGGTTTCCCTTCCAAAAATAAAGGGACAGAGTCCATCTGCTCTTCTACTTTAGGTTGGTTTTTAGTCCCTTTTTTGCCTAAGGTTGCATTCCCTATTTTGGGAAGGAATTTTCCTCCTTCGGAGAGAGCGGGGCCGGCTCTCTCGCTTCTCTCCTGGGTTCCCATCCAAAGGGATCTGGGCAGGGATCCACTCCAGGAGATGGTGCAGTCCCACCCACTTCTGGGATCCAGAAGATCCACTGAAATGACCGAGGAGACCCTCACAGGTGAGGTTCGATTTCTCTCTCCTTCTTTACCTGGTTTGATTTCCCTTTTGATCCAGTCTCCTGGAAGAGTCAGATTGCATGTCAGGTGTGGGCAAAGTTTGGCTTTCCTTCCAGGTGTTTTGGACTTCAACTCCCACAATTCCTGGCCTCAGGCCCCTTCCTCAATTGAAGTCCAAAACACCTGGAGGGAAAGCCAAACTTTGCCCATACCTGTTGTATATTGATGTATATTGCAGTTCCTCGTGTTGTGGTGACCCCCAACCATAACATCTTAAGTATTTGTGCCAAGTTTGGTCCAGATCTGTCACTGTTTGAGTCCACAGTGCTCTCTGGATATAGGTGAACTACAATTCCCAAACTCAAGGTCAATGCCCACCAAGCCCTTCCAGTAATATCTGATGCTCGTAGGAGTTCTGAGTGCCAAGTTTGGTTCAGTTCCATCGTTGGTGGAGTTCAGAATGTTCTTTGATTGAGGTGAACTATAAATCCCAGCAATTACAACTCCCAAATGTCAGGTCTATTTTTCCCAAACTCTACTAGTGTTCACATATTGGGCATATTCAGTATTCGTGCCAAGTTTGGTCCAGATCTGTCACTGTTCGAGTCTGCAGTGCTCTCTGGATGTAGGTGAACTACAACTCCCAAACTCAAGGTCAATGCCCACCAAACTCTTTCAGTATTTTCTGTTGGTCATGGGAGTTCTGTGTGCCAAGATTGGTTCAGTTCCATCGCTGGTGGAGTTCAGAATGCTCTTTGATTGTAGGTGAACTATAAATCCCAGCAACTACAACTCCCAAATGTCAAGGCTTATTTTTCCCAAACTCTGTGTTCACATTTGGGCATATTGAGTATTTGTGCCAAGTTTGGTCCAGATCTGTCCACAGTGCTCTCTTGTTGTAGGTGAACTACAACTCCCAAACTCAAAGTCAATGCCCACCAAGCCCTTCCAGTAATATCTGATGCTCGTAGGAGTTCTGAGTGCCAAGTTTGGTTCAGTTCCATCGTTGGTGGAGTTCAGAATGYTCTTTGATTGGAGGTGAACTATAAATCCCAGCAATTACAACTCCCAAATGTCAAGATCTATTTCCTCCAAACTCTACCAGTGTTCACATATTGGGCATATTGAGTATTCGTGCCAAGTTTGGTCCASATCCATCATTATTTGTGTCCAAAGTGCTCTCTGGATATAGGTGAACTACAACTCCCAAACTCAAGGTCAATGCCCACTAAAGTCTTTCAGTATTTTCTCTTGGTCATGGGAATTCTGTGTGCCAAGATTGGTTCATTTCTACTTCGTAACTCTAATTTTGCAACTGTTAGGAATCGTGATATAAATATCTGATACGCAGGATGTATTTTCATTCACTGGACCACATTTGACACAAATACCCGATACGTCCAAATTTGAATACTGGTGGGGTTTTGGGGGGGGGGGGGATTGAGTTTGTCATTTGGGAGTTGTAGTTGTATGGATTTATAGTTCACCTACAATCAAAGAGCATTCTGAACTCCACCAACAATGGAACTGAAGCACACTTGGCACGCAGAACTTCCATGACCAAGAGTAAATACTGGAAGGGTTTGATGGGCCTTGACCTTGAGTTTGGGAGTTATAGTTCACCTACATCCAGAGAGTACTGTGGACTCAAATAATGATGAATCTGGACCAAACTTGGCATGAATCCTCAATATACCCAAATGTGAACATTGGTGGAGATTGGGTAAAATAGATCTTGACATTTGGGAATTGTAGTTGCTGGGATTTATAGGTCACCTATAATCAAAGAGCATTCTGAACCCCACCATTGATAGAATTGGGCCAAACTTCCCACACCAGAACCCTCAAATAATGATGGATCTGGACCAAACTTTGCATGAATACTCAATATGCCCAAATCTGAACACTGATGGGGTTGGGGAAAACAGACTTAACATTGGGAGTTGTAGTTGCTGGGATTGAGTGTTCACCTACAATCAAAGAGCATTCTGAATGCCAGCAACAATGGAATTGAATTAAACTTGGCACACAGAACTCCCATGACCAACAGAAAATACTGGAAGGGTTTGGTGGACATTGACTTTGAGTTTGAGAGTTATAGTTCACCTACATCCAGAGAGTACTGTGGACTCAAATAATGATGAATCTGTACCAAACTTGGCATGAATCCTCAAAATGCCCAAATGTGTACACTGGTGGGGTTTGGGGAAAACAGACCTTGACATTTGGGAGTTGTAGTTGCTGGGATTTATAGTTCACCTACAATCAAAGAGCACTCTGAATCCAGCCCACAATGGATCTGCACAAAGTTTGGCACACTACCTACATGGCCAACATTGAATACTGGTGTGGTAGGAGGTGGGGGGCTGTTTTTGAATTCTGGGAGTTGTAGTTCACCAACACCAAAAAGGAAGAGAAGGACAGGCGGAGAGATCTTCAGCCTTCTCTGCCAAAAGGGTTCCTATGACCATCAGAAATATGTGTTTTCTGATGTACTTTGGCAACCCCCCTGAAACCCGCTCGCGACCCCCAGGGGTCCTGATCCTTAGGTTGAGACACACTGCCCTAGACTGAAGGCTATTTTAAATATAGGTTTATGTTGCTGTTCTTGATAGATTGCATTGTAAATTCATAGTACAGCAGACACACACACATTGGGAAGATCCCCCAGTTGTGTCTTTGAAGTTTGCAGTTGGGATTTCTGCTGTCCATCCTTCTGTTCTGCAATGCGAGGATGGACAACTGACCACCTGGCTGCCCAAATCCCTCTGTGTCTGCAGACATGGCATTTTGCTGCCCCGAGGAGTCAGGCTTTGACCCAGTTGACCTTTGCTCTCACCCTTACAGCCACCAAGGTCCCAGTGATCAATTCAAACTAAATCCATTGCCCCGCTGACCCTGGCAGCACACACAAGCTCCTGTTCAGCCCATCCTTCTGTCCTGCAGCTGACCCCATCTGACTGTCCAGGTCCCTCTGCATCTGTGTATGTTGTGTTTTACTGGGAGTCCCACCTTTGGCCCCGCTGATCTTGTTCCATGGTTTTAATTAGTGGATTTTGTGATTTTATTTATTTATTTATTTATTTATTTATTACTGCGCTTGTATACCGCTGTTTCTCAGCCTACATTGGCGACTCAACGCGGTTTACAACACAACAACAATCAACAATATTCCGTTTAAAAAGCATAAAAACACATACACAATACACAATATTATTGGGCCACCAATAACAATCCAATGCATCTCTTAACTAGAATCGCAATCCAATTTCATCGTCTGTGATTACCAATCCTTGATCATCAATTTCATTGCACCGAATTAATCGAATGCTTGTTTGAACATCCAGGTCTTCAATCTTTTTCGAAACACCATCAGCGAGGGGGCTGATCTTACCTCTATGGGGAGGGCATTCCAAAGCCGAGGGGCCACCACAGAAAAGGCCCTGTCTCTCGTCCCCGCCAGCCGCACCTGTGAAGCAGGCGGGATAGAGAGCAGGGACTCCCCAGAAGATCTTAGGGTCCTGGTGGGCTGATAGGCCGAGATACGTTCGGATAGGTAGGTTGGGCCAGAACCGTTTAGGGCTTTAAAGGCCAACGCCAGCACTTTGAATTGGGCCCGGTAGCAAATCGGCAGCCAGTGGAGCTGGTACAGCAGAGGAGTTGTATGCTCCCTGCGCCCTGCTCCTGTTAGTAACATGCGCCGCCCGTTGGACTAATTGGAGCTTCCGAGCCGTCTTCAAAGGCAACCCCACGTAGAGAGCGTTGCAGTAGTCAAGACGGGATGTAACCAGAGCGTGGACTACCGTGGCCAAGTCAGACTTCCCAAGGTACGGTCGCAGTTGGCGCACAAGTTTTAACTGTGCGAATGCTCCCCTGGTCACCGCCGAAACCTGGGGTTCCAGGCTCAGCGATGAGTCCAGGATCACACCCAAACTGCGAACCTGCGTCTTCAGGGGGAGTGCGACCCCGTCTAACACAGGTTGTAACCCTATACCCTGTTCGGCCTTGCGACTAACCAGGAGTACCTCTGTCTTGTCTGGATTCAATTTCAATTTGTTCGCCCCCATCCAGACCGTCACAGCGGCCAAGCACCGGTTCAGGACCTCGACAGCCTCCTTAGTAGCAGGTGGGAAGGAGTGACAGAGTTGGACATCATCTGCGTACAGATGACATCGCACTCCGAAACTCCGGATGATCTCGCCCAGCGGCTTCATGTAGATGTTAAACAACATGGGAGACAGTATTGAACCCTGAGGAACCCCACAAGACAAAGGTTGTGGGGTTGAACAGGAGTCTCCCAGTAACACCTTCTGAGACCGACCCTCGAGGAATGAGCGGAGCCACTGCAGAACAGTACCTCCAAGACCCATCCCCGTGAGGCGTCCCAGAAGGATACCGTGGTCGACGGTATCGAAGGCCGCTGAGAGGTCGAGCAGCACCAACAGGGACACACTCCCCCTGTCGAGCTCCCGACGCAGATCATCCACTAAGGCGACCAAGGCTGTCTCGGTACCATGCCCCGGCCTAAAGCCAGACTGTGCCGGGTCCAGATAATCCGTGTCTACCAAGAATGCCTGGAGTTGTGAGGCCACCACACGTTCCATGACTTTGCCCAAAAAGGGGAGATTGGAAACAGGCCGATAGTTGACGAGTTGAGTGGGGTCCAGTGATGGTTTTTTCAACAGCGGTTTTATCACAGCTTGTTTTAAGCTGGCTGGAATTTTGCCTTCCCGAAGGGAGGCATTAACCACCACCTTCACCCACTCGGCCAATCCCCCTCTGGCCTCCTTCAGAAGCCAGGATGGGCAGGGGTCTAGGATGCATGTGGTATCTCTCATTCCTCCAAGCACCTTGTCCACATCCTCGGATTGAACCAATTGAAATGAATCCATCAAAATTGGACAAGCAGATGCTCGTGTTACATCCTCAGAGACTGCCGTTAATATGGTATCCAGTCCAGAGTGGATCAAAGCGACTTTGTCTGCAAAGAACTGAGCAAAAGCTTCACAGCGAGCTGCCGAGTCATCAGGGCACCCATCCTGAGTGGTGGGTTTTAACAGGCCTCTGACAACTCGGAACAGTTCAGCCGGACGGTTCTTTGCAGACGCAATAGTGGCCGCAAAGAAAGTCTTCTTAGCGGCTTTTATTGCCGCGGCGTATGCCCTTAAAAAGGACACAAACCGTGTTCGATTTGGCTCGCTCGGATCCGAACGCCACACGCTCTCTAGTTCCCTCTTCTTTCGCTTCAACGCTGCCAGCTCCTCGGTAAACCAAGGAGCTGGTTTAGCTCGGCTACTTGAGAGGGGACGTTCTGGAGCGATCGTGTCTATTGCCCTAGTCATCTCCCCATTCCAGAGAGCGACCAGGGCATCAACAGGATCACCAACCGAGGTGGCGGGAAATTCCCCAAGAGCCGTCAGGAATCCATCCGGATCCATAAGCCTCCTGGGGCGGACCAGCTTAATGGGTCCTCCACCTCTGCGGAGGTTAGGGGGTGCAGTGAGTCCTAAAGCTGACCAGGTGGTGGTCGGTCCATGGCAACGGAGAGATGGATAACTCCTCACACCGCCACCTTCCTCCCATCCCTGACAGAAAACCAAGTCCAATGTGTGTCCAGCACTGGGGTGGGGCCAGATACCCGCTGGGACAGACCCATGGTCGCCATGGTAGACATGAAGTCCTGAGCCGCTCCCGTTAGGGCAGTCTCGGCATGGACATTGAAGTCCCCCAGCACAAGCAGCCGTTGGGACTCCAATGCCAGGTCCGAGACCACCCCCGCTAGCTCAGGTAGGGAGACTGTAGTGCAGCGAGGTGGACGGTACACTAACAGAATCCCTAATCTGTCCCGGTCACCCACCCTCAGGTGGACGCATTCAAAATTTGTTGACTGCGGGATGGGGGCCCTGGTCAGAAGAATGGAATCTCTGTAGACCACTGCAACCCCGCCTCCCCGCCCTCCGGATCTCGGTTGGTGCTGCACAGAGAAACCTGGTGGGCAAAGCTGGGTCAAATTTACACCTCCCGCTTCGTCCAACCAGGTCTCTGTGATGCACGCCAGATCTGCCCGTTCATCCAGGATTTTGTGTTCCATTGCCTGGAATTCATGTTTCCAGTTTTTTGGATTTTAATCTAGAAGTTTCTGCATTTGTTTTTCATGAACTTTGATGGACAAATACACTGGACTATTTTGTTCCGGCTTATCTTCGTACATAATTGGATTTACCTATTCCTTTAAAGTGCTTTTTTACTTTGCTGCTTTTGAATTATCTTCAATAATGGGATTGCATTTCTACTCAACTGTGTGGTGTTTAAAGTCAGAGGGCTTTCCCTGGTCTGGAGTGCAACACTAACACAGAAACATAGAGGCCGCAGAACCATTTCAATGTGCATGCAAGATTGTTAGTTTTTCCAACAGTTTTGCCTTGCAAAAGAGTTTCAGCTTTCTTTTTAACCTCTCTCTTTTCCCCTTCCCTTCTTTCTTAATCTTCTGTGGCAGCCGTTAGGAGAAAATAAAATAGAAGGTTTAAGTTCTCACTTGATCCTTTGAAAGGAATAGACCATTTCTCTATGAGTGAATTTGCAAGCATGAGAAACCTACAGATGTTATTGATCGTCTCTGGACCTTGGTCAGTCAGAAGTGTTTTCTGTAGCCGATGTTTACTTGGATATGAATTCAACAAGAGAAGTTTGGCACGACAAAGAGATCAATAGTATCGATCTAAGACTTGGAACATCTAAGGTCATATGGTGAGAGAGCGCCATCCTCTGACCACTTAATGTAAATAGCAGGCAATTTCAGAAAAGCTTTATCCTAAGTAATTTCCTTCGTGGTCTTCATATTAAGAAATAAGTGATAATGAAGTTATTAAGGCTGAATTAACTAAAGGAGATTGCCTTGATCAAATCTTATGTTATATTGAATGTTTTATATTGTGTATAAACTGTTTTAAATTGTAAGTCGCACGGAGCACCTTGGTGGAGAGCGACTAACTAAGAAATAAAGTGATGATGACGATGATGATGATAAGCATATAAAAGTTATAATTCAATTAGAGATTTAAGGAATTGAACATATAAGAGTAATCTTAAGGTAACAGGTGAAGGTTGGGATAAGTTACATAATCAAGCAGATGTTTGGGTTCACAACGTGGCTGCCAAAACCTGATAAAGATGTTTTTGGGAACTATATATGGATACACCTGTTAATGATTGTATGGTGTAAATGTCAGACTCTTTCTGCGCATGTGTGGAAAGGTTGATATTATGCTATAAATACTGAAGCGATTCTGACCTCCAACGTGTCAGTCCCTTGTTTGCTGAACACCCGATATTCTGCAGAGGTAGAAATAAACGCCTGGAAATCAGACATGCTGTCTCTCCATCTTCTTCCTTTTCCAAAAGCACTCTAATGAATCTCGGGTGACGTATATTCCGCAACACTTCCTTTCTTAAAATGCTGCCTTGTTCCCTTTTCTTGCAGCTCCTGAGGCCTCCGCCCAGTGCCCCTTTCTCTGGACATGACCTCCCCCTCCGTGAACGAGACCTGTGTCCTGCGGCCTCCGTCCTTCACCCTGCGCGGCCTCCCCGGCCAGGAGGACGCCCACTTCTGGCTGGCCTTCCCCTTGCTGGCCCTGTACCTGGTGGCCGTGGTGGGCAACGCCACCATCGTGTGGGTGGTCAGGGCGGAGGCCACGCTCCACACGCCCAAGTACCTCTTCCTGGGCATGCTGGCCGGCGTGGACTTGGCGCTGGCCACTTGCACCGTCCCCCGCATGCTGTCCCTCTTCTGGCTGGACGACCGGACCATCGGCTACGGCGCCTGCCTGCTCCAGATGTTCTTCATCCACTCCCTCTCGGGGGTGGAGTCCACGGTGCTGCTTGCCATGGCCGCTGACCGCTATGTGGCCATCTGCCGCCCACTCCAGTACTCGGCCCTGCTGACCTGCTCACGGGCAGCTAAAGTGGGCCTGGGGGCTGTGGCCCGGAGCCTGGCCTTCTTCCTACCACTGCTGCCGATGGTTGACCGGCTGGCCTTCTGCGGCCCCACCCAGCTGGTGCACCCCTTCTGCCTCCACCAGGACTTGATGACCTTGGCCTGTGAGCACCCACCCACACTGCCTAACCGAGTCTACGGCCTGGTAGCCATCCTGCTGGTCATGGGCCTGGACGGCCTGCTGGTCTTCCTCTCCTACCTGCTCATCCTGGCCGCCGTCCTGCGCCTGCCCACCCGAGAGGAGCATGGCCTCCACCTGCCTGGCCCACGTCTGCATGGTGCTGGCCTTCTACTTCCCACTGGTGGGGCTCTCCATTGCCCACCGCCTGGGAGATGGGAGACACCACCCCGTTCTCCATGTCACCCTCAGCTGCCTCTACCTTCTCCTGCCCCCCGTCCTCAACCCCATCGTCTACGGGGCGCGCATGACTGAGATCCGGCGCAGGGCCCTCAAGATGGTGGGCAGGAGACCATCGGCCCCCCAAGCCCACTGACCACAGGGAGAAGAAGGCTGGGTGGTCTGTGTGGGAGAGTACAGCAGGGATACCCAGGCCCATAGCATTTAGGGAGAGCAGAATGCAAGGAAAGAGGGCTGGGCCACAACCTATAATAAGACTATCCGGTATCTATAGAAGAGTAGAGTGCAATGGAACTATTCTGGGACCATAACCTGTGTGAGGAATATTTGGTATCTATAGCAGAGCAGAATGCAACGGAAGAGTGCTGGGCCCATAACCTATACAAAGACTATTTAGTAAGAGTAAAGTGCAATGTGTTGTGACTCAGCTGGAACCACAGACTGATAATGTTGTGACTCAGATGGGGTCTCAAAGTGACTCTGACGAGGATGATGGGATTCAGGTTCACAATCAGGTTCAAAATGTTCCTGTTGTAGATAAAGAGGGACAGGGTGTGCAAGTTCAGTTTCCCACAGCAGGGAAGGATGTTTCTGATACTGAAACTTGCGAGGTGCCAATTGACTCAGAAAAGGAGGACAGTTTTCAGCCTGAGAGTAGGCAGGAAGACAACCAGGCTGACACTAACGAGCACCCTGACCTTGATGAAACAGGAACCTTAGATCGGACTGACCGTTTGGAATTTCAGAGTTCGAAGGAGTGTGAGAATAGCCAACAAGAAGGAGATCAGCAGCCTGGCCTTGATGAAATGGGAACCTTAGATTGGGCTGACTGTTTGGAATTCAGAGTTCGAAGGAGTGTGAGAATAGCCAACAAGAAGGAGGTCAGCAGCCTGACCTTGATGAAACAGGAATCTTTGATCGGGCTGACTGTTTGGAATTCAGGGTTCGAAGGAGTGTGAGAATAGCCAACAAGAAGGAAGTCAGCAGCCTGACCTTGATGAGACGGGAATCTTAGATCGGGCTGACCGTTTGGAATTCGAAGTTCGAAGGAGTGTGAGAATAGCTAACAAGAAGGAGGTCAGAGGTGTTGCAACTCTGAGTAAGCTTCACCTTGCTTCCAAACACCACCACACAAGAGCTGTAGTTTTATAGTTTATTGAGGAAGAAATCCAAGTCAAAATAAAGAATAAGCATTGCAAAGTTCCAAAGATTAAGGTTAAATGCAGAATATAGTTCCAAAGATCTTCAGGTAAAAGCAGGAGACACAATCCTATTGGCAAAGTTCAAACCAGAGTCCCAGGTACAAGCAATGAAACAATTGCCCCATGAATCACAATGCAAGAAATCCCAAGTGTACTGCTTTCCAGGCTAAGATTATTCCATGAAGCTTTCAGGCTAATAAGCTACATTGAACTGACACTTTCCCTTGGTTTGCAAGAAGCCTAAATACCTTTCTAACATGAAAACATTGCGATGACCTTTCACCGAGCTGGTCTCTCGTCTGCCAGCTAGGCGAGAACTCCGCCTGACCCGGAGATCAAGACGAGCTTGCCGGGTCAGGTCACTGTCAAGGCTTTCAGTACTTTCGGTATCAGCGTGGGAAGGAGGCGAATGCCTCCCCACCTGTTCACTATCTCCTTCGTTAAAATTCCTTTCTCTTGGGAACTGCTGCGTTGATATTGACTCTGCACTGTCTGTGCTGTCTGTGGGAGCCGCAGGCCCAGAGATCTGAGGCACAGAAAAAGAGCCAGGAATCTGAATCCCATCATCCTCATCATCACAGAACATCTCAGCCACAACAAGAGGCCAAAGAAACGCCTTCATGTTTTGCAAAGGGTATTAAGCAGTGTGTTTGAAAACAAACCTTTGTCAGAGCAACTTTTCGCTCAACCAAGCAGCTTGTGCTCGTTTGCCTGGATTATCTTGTAGTTCTTGTGTCCATGGTCTCGGGACTTTGTCATGTTCTCATGAGATTTTGTTTTGTTGGTGCCTCTTGGAATCCTGCTTTACAGTGCTTATGTTTTATTGATCTTTTGGAACATTACTTGCTTTTAAGAACTTTTTATCTTTTACTTTTCAATAAACTACAAAGACTTCAGTCTGTGTGCAGTTTTGGTGATTTCAGCAAGGTGAATCTACTCTGAGGTGCGACACAATGGAACTATGCTGCGACCATAGCCTGTGTGAGGAATATTTGGTATCGATAACAGAGTAAAACGCAATGGAAGAGTGCTGGGCCCATAACCGATTGAAAGACTATTCAGTATCTATAGAAGAGTAAAGTGCAATGTAACTTTTCTGGGACTATAACCTGTATGAGGAACATTTGGTATCTATAGCAGAGCAAGACGCAATGGAAGAGTGTTGGGCCCATAACCTATAAAAGACTATTCAGTATCTACAGAAGTGTAGAGTGCAATGGAACTATTCTGGGACCATAACCTGTGTGAGCCCCCGGTGGTGCAATGGGTTAAAGCTCTGAGCTGCTGAGCTTGTTGACTGAAAGGTTGCAGATTTGAATCTGGAGAGCAGCGTGAGCTTCTGCTGTCAGCCCCAACTTCTGCGCTCCTAGCAGTTCAGAAACATGCAAAATGTGAGTAGATCGATAGGTACTGCTCCGGCGGGAAAATAACGGCGCTCCATGCAGTCATGCATGGATTCAGAACGATCTTGACAGATTAGAGAGATAGGCCAAAACTAACAAAATGAAGTTCAACAGTGACAAATGCAAGATACTCCACTTAGGCAGGAAAAACGAAATGCAAAGAGATAGAATGGGGGACGATGAGGCCTGGCTCGAGGCTTCATTTTGTGAATGAAAATCCATCCTGCATATCGGATATTTACATTACGATTTATAACCGTACTAAAATGACAGGTATCAAATAGAAACGAAAAAAATATTATGGTTGGGGGTCACCACAACATATGGAACTGTATTTAGGGGTCATGGCATTAGAAAGGTTGAGAACCACTGGTCTAGAGGGCTTTGATGATGGAACAGGGTTGGACTGGATGGCCCCTGGAGGCCCCTTTCCAAGCTCTGGAATGCTAGATTTGAGGCCTAAGAGGAGAAGCCTCCCTTCTGAATAGGATACTCTCTTCCAGCTCCAGGGTCTAGAGAACAAGCCCTATGAGGAGCGGCTTAAGGAGCTGGGCATGTTTAGCCTGAAGAAGAGAAGGCTGAGAGCAGATATGATAGCCATGTATAAATATGTGAGAGGAAGCCACAGGGAGGAGGAGGGAGCAAGCTTGTTTTCTGCTTCCTTGGAGACTAGGACGCAATGAAACAATGGCTTCAAACTACAAGAGAGGAGATTCCATCTGAACATGAGGAAGAACTTCCTGACTGTGAGAGCCGTTCAGCAGTGGAACTCTCTGCCCCCGAGTGTGGTGGAGGCTCCTTCTTGGGAAGCTTTTAAACAGAATGGCCATCTGTTGGGGGTGCTTTGAATGCAATTTTCCTACTTCTTGGCAGGGGATTGGACTGGATGGCCCATGAGATCTCTTCCAACTCTTTTAGATGTCCATAAGTTGGAGATACCTTGAGATGTTTTAGATGAACGTAAATTGGAGATACCTTGAGATGTTTTAGATGACCATAAGTTAGAGATACCTTGAGATGTTTTAGATGGCCATAAGTTAGAGATGCCTTGAGATGTTTTAGATGGCCATAAGTTAGAGATACCTTGAGATGTTTTAGATGGCCATAAGTTAGAGATACCTTGAGATGCTTTAGATGACCATAAGTTGGAGATGCCTTGAGATGTTTTAGATGGCCATAAGTTAGAGATACCTTGAGATGTTTTAGATGGCCATAAGTTAGAGATACCTTGAGATGCTTTAGATGACCATAAGTTGGAGATGCCTTGAGATGTTTTAGATGGCCATAAGTTAGAGATACCTTGAGATGTTTTAGATGGCCATAAGTTAGAGATACCTTGAGATGCTTTAGATGACCATAAGTTGGAGATACCTTGAGATGTTTTAGATGGCCATAAGTTAGAGATACCTTGAGATGTTTTAGATGACCATAAGTTGGAGATACCTTGAGATGTTTTAGATGGCCATAAGTTAGAGATACCTTGAGATGTTTTAGATGACCATAAGTTGGAGATACCTTGAGATATCTTAGATGGTTCAATGGCTTCAAACTACAAGAAAGGAGATTCCATCTGAACATGAGGAAGAACTTCCTGACTGTGAGAGCTGTTCAGCAGTGGAACTCTCTGCCCCGGAGTGTGGTGGAGGCTCCTTCTGTGGAGGCTTTTAAACAGAGGCTGGATGGCCATCTGTCAGGGGTGCTTTGAACGCGATTTCCCTGCTTCTTGGCAGAATGGGGTTGGACTGGACGTTCCATGAGGTCTCTTCCAGCTCTAGGATTCTAGAATTCTAATTGTTTTTCCCAAGCGGCGCAACTGGCTGTTTCAGGGAAGCTCTCTTGAACCTCCAGCATTGTTTACATTTTTGTTTCCTTGACTCATTTGGATGAGTCACGAATTATTGGGAAAACGGGGGGCTGGATGGGTTTTGCTTCATGGGGGATCAAGCCCCATCACACTCAATGCACCTGGAGCTATTCTGGAAGGGATGATTGAGGGCCGTGGGGTTCCTCCCGGCCTCTCCTTCTTTGGTCTCCTTCCAAGGCGTTGGGCTTCTTTCCCGCTGGAGCATCTGGCCTTCTTCAGGGAGCCTTTCCTCTTCCCAGGGAAAGGGAGACATCCGGAGATTAGGAGCCGTGCCTCACTCCTCTCCCAGGCTTAAAAATAGGGAGACATTGAGCAGCACGCCCTGAGACCCGGTTCCTAAATAGCCTCCCGGGAGAGTTCTGCGCATAATGCTCCTAGGAGCTTCTGGGGTTACGCATCCGCTCCATACAAGGACACAAGGGAGCCCGCCTTTCCGGCCTCTTTCTGGTTCCCTATTTATTTGTCATGTCAGGGCAACCAGTCAATTGTATTGCATTTCGAACAGAACAAAACAAACACACAGACAAAACACAAAGTTTGCAAACTTTGGCATTTTATGAAATAACCTTTTGTTAGAGTTAGACTCTCCAGTCTCAGCACAGCAAGCGTGAGGTTTCCAAAATAAACAGACTCAATCATCACACAGCATTCTTCTTCAGTTTCAAGATAGCTTTACTAGAAGCGTCTATACACAAGCGACTACATGATGAGAATAAAAGATGGCGACCTACAAAGTACAAGACTAAACACACAGAAAGAAAACATCCTGCCCATCCGGCTGGTTCACTCCCTTCTTCTTCTCTGGGCAAAAGAATTTCTGTTATCTCTGTCTCAAGGATTTTTACTCTCACTGCCTCTAATGACTACAATTCTAGCACACAGCTGAACATAACTGAATCCTTGTGACCTCATGGACCATCCCACGCCAGAGCTCCCTGTCAGCCGTCCCTACCCCCAGCTCCT